TACAAAAAAACATTACCTCCTCCTTGATGGGATTAAGTGTAAAATGTTTTCTAATTTCTGTCATGGTAATTGCCCCAAAAACCGTTCAGGAGACACTGATACAGGCTGACATTACAGCTGAATCAACACCTGTGAGAAGGTAGGATTCATTACTCTCATTTAGAGTAATAAACTGACACCTGGGTGTGGCGATGAAATGAGCATTTAAAAAGCAAAGGGATGTACAACAGAAATCAAAGTACAACAAAGAACAATTTAATTACACGCTCTCACGGCGGTGTAAACGTCGGCCATCTAATTGAAAGAAACAGGCTCCCTGAGGTAGACTTAAGCTTCTAATCACACTCATATTAATGCTCAAGTCAAACTACTGCATAAGCATTACACGTGTATATAGATGGGAAGCTTCACAGTTCGGAGGAAGAGTAAACAGTGAGTCCAGCAGTGTAAACACAGCTGATATTACAGAACTGTTGAGCAGAAATAAACAGAAAAAAGTGGGTTACGGATTGGTGAGGGGAGCCTTTTGAAGGGGCTCCAGTGAGAAAGCAGCAATCATACTGTCAATGCAGCGTCATGCTTTGTATCAAAGAGGAGTTCAATGAAGGACTGACTCACTATTTTTCCCAATATTACTAAACAACAGCCAAATCACATCCATTACATTTAACTCCTCACAATAACAGCAAGTGTGTGTCTCAAAAAGCACATTTGAGGGCGTCACGTTCTTTGTAAGTTTTTGTTTGTCACAGGCAGAGACGTGCGGTGAGGGGAAGATAGCGCACAATAAGCCGAACTGAGGCGTGCATTAAAAGTTAAAAGCTCAAAGGCAGAACAGGCTCATTCCTACAGGGATGGACACCTGAATGTGCTATTGTCATGGGGTATTCTCACTGTTTACCTGTTACCTGCTTCTCCTTCTGTATGTATATTTATGTGTGAATGGTCCTTTGTTGTAACAATGCTTCTAGGCACTAAATCTCACACCACTACAAAGCTTGTGTATTTCTCCTTTAATGTTGCCACGTTCGTAAGCATAATGCATTTGTGAGTTGCACCCATGAAAAACTTGCAAGATCTTCTCTGCCAGTGCCAAACAGCTTATTCTGTTATTGACTCTTGTTTGGTGTCACTTATTGGATATTGGATGATCAGTGTTGGGGAGTAACGGA